CAACACCATTCCCATGTCAAAAAGCAACTGTGAAGAATTCACCCGTGTATTTTTGTCAGCTGCAATGGGCATTCTTGTTTACTATCCACACACACTTATGAGAAGGACTTACAAAGGCTATGCTTGAGCTGAAATTCTAAACAGAAAAACTGGATCATGAAAAAAATAGAAATATTTTTAAAGATTATTTGCTACAGAAGTCAGTGACTTTCTCAAGAACATTCAAAGAGCAAAATCTATCAGGAGATGGTAAGTGGCAAATCCTGATTAGCTAAAATAATCAGCATTTCACTGAAAGGAAATACCCAAAGGAAAATAAAATTATTCTGGCTATTTTCTCTTTTCTAACATGTATGTTTTATTTTCAGTTTGTTCCACTGGAGCAGAGGAGAGAGAGATAAATGAAAGATGAGAGCCATAATCCATGAGAGCACTCTCAGACTTCCACAGATAGTGAAATTTAACATTGACAGATATGACAGCAACTCATCTCAGAGTCTAAGCTCTGCTTTGGAATCAGGGACACCACTAAAAAGAATAGGGATAAAGAACTCATATCAGTCTTGGCTGGAAAGAGAGGAAAGGTGTAAAAATAGTCTGTAAGCATTGTAAACCAAGAAGGAAAAACCTCTGTAGCCGCCTCCTTGCCATTTTATTCTTTAAATTGTTGCTATTACAGCAGAGTGGAGTTTAAGTTTAGTATTAACTACTACAAAATCACCACAATTATTTGTATGGTTGTACAGACTTAAAAGATCCACTGCACTATATACAGAGGGGGCATCTGTACAGTTGGGCAACAAGCTCTTGCCCTGGCTAGCACATGCTCTGAATAAACTTCAACTCCCCCCTCTACAACTGCATCTGGAGAACCAGTGTCACACCCAGGAACCTCTCCAGCCGACTGGTGGTAACTGGTTGCTGCAAGATCATACAGAACATATATTGCCCTCCATCACTTGTACCAATCTTAGCACTGAAACATTTAAAGTCATAAGAAGGAAATGCAGGCAAACCTTACAGAGAGGAAAGCAGACATGCGGAGATGAAATGGCTTCCCCTAGCAAGCTGATAACAAAACCAACAGTGCCTGAGCAATGCCCAAGAGCTACAGGATCACGTATCCTCTGAGCAAATATGGTCAGATTCTTCTCACTTCGCTGCTTTTACTGTTGGAAACAACATGCAAAGTACTGTTACCCACCTCTGACACCGCACATCACACTACCTGCTCTTTACACTAGCTAATTGCTCCTTTGTTTTAAAAGAACCCACTCTACAGGATCAGGATCCAAGTTTTTGGATTTTAGGTACTGGAATCACAGCTATTTGCATGGTAACACTAAGGTGCTCTTGTGTTCAGCAGTTGCAGAGGGTTCAGAGACAGTAAAATAATCTAGGGAGATCTTGGACAAGGGAATGAGCGTTTAGGCCTGGCTTAGTGCTGCTCAGTATCATCAAGGCAATGATGACTACATTATCATTTAATGAATTCAGGACTGTGCACACACTCCTATCACGGGGCCTCCAGTGCTATTAAGAACAGGATAAAAACCCACAAAAACAGGCAATGCGTACAATACGTGTCCAATACTGCGTATGTAGCAAGTTGCTCTTCTGTTGCTACAGCATACACTTTGATGTCATTCCCCAATCAAATCAACAATTCCAAGTAGCCATCCCAATCTTAAAGTTGTTCTCTTCAATAAAAAAGGGAACAAATGAGAAAATGCACAGAAGTTTCAAAACTTCATTGGGTAAATACTAAGCAGATGAATAGGCAACACTCTAGAAATTGATAAGCACTGAGATAGAGAAGGTATCTCCAGCACTTTTAGAGCATCCTGAAACAGATGATTGTAGGTCCTAATTAGTACTTTCAGTGTGTATGTATATATCTATATATATACACAAAATGCTTTTGTTTATATATAAACACTTAAAACAACTTAGCTGAAATCACAATTTTTTTTCACATACTTCTCGAGCTGAAGAGATTTCTTTTATCATTTTGCTGTATTTTAACAATACATTCACCATAGAGCAGTTTCATAATTAAAAGCCTTTAATTAAAGAAGATTAATTAAACATGAGATAAGCACAAATACTAAACAAACTACTTCAGAGAAAATCCAGAATCTGACCTACCAAAATGACTTTATATGCAATTACACATGCTGTGAATTACTGTTTGTAGATAATTGCCTTGGCTGTCTCCTTAAAATCAACCGACCACATATTAAAGTTAAATAACATCAAACCAAAGAAAGAAGTCAGGGCTGATTGGACTTGCGGTTAAATGCGTTCATTTTTTATGTATCTCGGCATTAACGCATTACTGGTTCAAAATCATTTACCAGTAGACCTTAATCATAAAGAATACTTGCAGCATATTTCTGAAGCTAGCTTTCAACCCTCAAAATAAAAGATATTATCTTATCTAGAGATGCCTCCATAATTTACCTAATTTCCTTCAAATTACTTCTCAGAGAATAATCCCAATCCTAGAAGTATAACTAGCTTTATATATTGTTGACTCTTAGATACATTTCCTAGAGTATTTTAACATGTTCTTGCTATATGATACAGTAGAAGTAAAATGACTCCTTTTTTATATGAAGGCTGCTTAACCAAATGAACAAAGAAAAGGCAACACTTACGTTGTACATGTAGTAATGGAAAATATTAATTGCTTTTGAGATCTCTGGCATTGTTCTTCCTAGCAGACTGGGTCAGACCAGCTTTGTACCCAAAACCACACATGCTATACTCCACAATGTCAAAGAATGAAGTAAAGCAATATGAAGGAAGGTTTATTGGCCACATTTCAGAAGATATCTATATTCATTTCAGAAATTCACAATTTCACAGCCATCAGTGGGAACTGCAAATGCACCTGAGGAAGAAGGCCACACAATTCAGAAAGCTTTCACAAAGGGAGTGGAAGCCCTAGAAACATCAGAAAATGAAAAACTTCACTAACTTTTAATTGATCTCTTAAATACAAGTGTGAATACTTTTGATAAGCCTATACAGACTAAGAATTTTGGTTCTCTGCACCCTTAGATTTCAAATGTACCAAAGCTGCCGAATGCAAGCTATCTAGCCTGTTAACAAAAAATTAAAAAACTCTACTATTTCAATGAAAATTGTCTGGTTTTGGATGTTACCTATTTTTAGGTCTTTGAAAGTTCCCTTCTTAGAGAACATTAATGGGTTTATCTGCATACAGCGTAGAGATTTCCTAGACTGTCTTCTAACTTCATTTATAAACATTTCAACTTCACATTTCTTGCCAGAAAGGTGTGGAAATGACAGGTTTACATTTTTAGGACCCTTTTCCCCTAAGCAGTAAAGGAACAGAAACTGGAGCAGGGATGAATTCCACCAGCAACAGAAACTGAAGTTCTAATTACAGTCTCCAAGGCAGACGCTACAGTAGTCATCTGCCAAGACCTCTTTCATTAGAGAAATAACCTCAAACTCTTTCAAGAAGTGTAATCTATCAAGACATATGGAAGAACAGAAGGCAATTTTAAATAGGTTTAATAGACAGTTGCCTAATTTATTTATTTTTTTAACTGAAAGACACAAATAATCTCTTCAAAAGGTTGATGTGTATGGAAGAAGCTAGCCAGAGAAGAATGCAAGTCCTGGAGTGAAAATGCAATATACCTCATAGACTTGCAGAAGACTGTATATATATGTATTTGTTGCACGACATTTAAACTAAACTGCCAGGACTGTGACATTTAAAAGCACTTGAGAACAAACTCTGCTCTATGGAAATTTTTTATTACCATTGACTTCCAGAGCCTAAATTTCACTATCAGCATGTATAGCACGGGCAGCGAGTAAAATGAACACAAACACAAGGTTCATTAATAAAGTTAACGGAAGAACGTATACAACATATTTTTTTCCCTTGTTACCTGGTGGTATAGGTAACTGCAATTTGAAGCACAGTCAAATTATAGGCATGAGCCTATAGAATCTGTAGAAATTTAAACTGCTTAAATGTAACATTAGTTTTTCCATACTGCATATGTTCTAAGGGCATTATTTGTTTTCTGAGCTACCTTGAAATTCTAATGACAAATATTGAGGTCACTTTATTTTCCCTTCACTGGGCACCGAATTAGCCTGCTTACTAACGTTTGCAGAATTACTGTCAAGAAACAACAGTAACTGAGATATGATTGCTATTTTCTATTTCTTCATTATGCAAATACTTTGAAAATTGAAAATACTGTATGCAAGCTAAAAATAAATGGACTTGGTGATCAAAACTGTGCTTTATAAGATAGGCTGCTGATGATCTAATGTAAATATTGATTTAAAAGAGGAGGCAATGTTTTCCTTGTATCTAGACACATCACTACTGTACCAGTTAGGAGCAGCCAATCCTTCCTATTTATGCCTGCACAGCATGTTTTCTTCAACATAAGAGATATATGCTGTATTCTTATTGACTTCTTAACAGCTATAGTAACATCCATTACATTTGCGAGATGAGCTGCTTGTACAGGCTAAGTACAGGTAATGACGACTTGTAACTGCAGGCAAAATGTGATTGAACACAGCCTTTTATAAGGTTCTTAAACACTCATACATGCAGTCTTCTAAGCATAACAAGCATAAGGGCAATGTTTATTCATAAACACCATTTTATTGGATGGCTTCAAACAATAACAACAGCTATTTTGTAAAGCTTCTGTAAATTACTAAAACTTCAGGAAGAGAATTATGCTACACTAAACCATCACCAAAAAATAATCAACCATCATCAAATACATGTTTGAAACTGATGAAGTACCACCTCAAAATAACAAAATAATGCTTACAACAGTCTTCAAATAGCAATGAGTTCTCAGTCTCAACTGAATCAATGCTACTGCTTCGTCTCAGCTATTGCTTCCACCCCTACTACACAGAGACTTTCTCCTTTTTATTATTTATTATTTTATTATTTTATTATTTATTATTGAAAGAACTCTTACCTCTCCATCTCGTATTCTTTCATACCTGCTTTTACTGCCTTCATTACCTGTAAGATACATATTAACATGGGACATTCATAGCAGAAGGGAATCTCATGTTTATAAATTTATGACTTATGACTGAGTATCTCCAGAGGAACCTATATTACAAAAATATAATCTGTACTTCATTTAAATTTACATCAGTAGATGCATTTTAAAATTACATTAGAAATCAAACTCATTTTAATCTTTATAAATGCCTGCAGTCTCCAGCAATAAAGCAAGTTTAATTGCCAAACTACTACATCCTAATGAAGTGCAGCTCATCAAAAGACCAATGCTTAATTCTGAAAGCTCTGGTGAACTTGGCAGCAAGTCCTTTTACTTTTATGAAACACTTGCAAAACAAAACTGGGAACTGGAATATATTACAAAGGGAGATTCTCTTTTATACTTTGCATTCTGAATCAACAGAAAACTACTAGAGTTAACACTGTTTTACAACCCATAAGTCCGTTCTCAGATTTGCTGAGAATGTGCAACAGTTTTATTCCTTTGCCTGTTTCTGTATTACAAAAGTTCTAGGCAGCTGCTCTATGGAAGAAATTCTCTCAGCTGTGATTATTCAGAGATGATGAAGGATCAAGGAGAATGAATGCAAATGACTACCCCTAGACTTTGCAATTTTACAATATTCACTTTAAAATATTTTTACACTTCACAGTTCAGAAATCTGAGGAGAAGGAGCAAAGACAATAGTTGAATCAGTAACCTCATCAGCTACTTTTACCTAAGCTCCGTCTGGTCATCGCTCAGAACTCATGGCATCTCCACATCAGTATATGGAGTACAGGATTGACACCCAAGTTAATTTTGTCATCAATACCAGTAGAGCAATATGACTCCGCTGGTACAGTGCTAGGTCCAACCTGAGGAGCCTTGCTGAGAGACTGGATTTGTCTTTGCGACTCTGCTATGTCAACAGAATAGCACCGTGAAGCTCTATACTGGGGGACATACCCACCTCTGAGGAGCAACCTAAGGAATGCTTACACTATCCTGCACTGTACATGGAAACACTCCTTCAGTTTGTAAGGATCTGGAGAGAGTAACTTGCTAGTTAAACTTTCAGAGCTGCACACGCTGACATGGGCCAGAAGAATAATCTTCTTGATCTATTCTTTCTCCATCACTATACAGGTATTTATGCATACAGGACAGATAGATTGCAAGCAGGTCACCTTCCGCTGAGGCTCCAGCTCTTATCCAAAACCACACTTGATTTCTCACACATCACAAATGCACCGGTGAGTTCAAGGACAATGCAAGGTATATTACTGGGCTGTAATAGGAGGGATATTACCCTCTTATTTCTATCCAGCCTTTCCATTATTTTATTACTAAGCAATTCAGGGTTGCTGGGAACATTTTCTGAGTACCACTGCTACACTAAGAGCAAAAATTATTAACAGTAAAGGATCCATTACCTCTTTATGAGCTTCACTGGAGATTTTATTGGTGTAGCGCAGAACTTCCAACTCCATGTCTGTCTTAATCACACGACTTAAAGAAAAGTAGAACAGGTATCAGGTTAGGTTGCAACTTCACAGCTTAAGAATAAGAAATAAAAAAACCTGAAAATAATATGCATCACCTATGGTAAAATTACATCAAGTACACCTCAAGAGAGAAGAGCTATTACAGTATTCGTGACAGCAAAGTTTTGTTGGCATTGATTCACCATTAGCAAAACAATCTTTCAAAGGGAAGTCATAAGCATTTCAAACATCAGCCTGCCTTATTTTATTACTAATAAACAAGTGGTCCAACCAACATTTTTTCAACGCATTCTACAATACTTCAGGAACAAAAGCAACGTATTTCTGCATTTGTCATGGCTCAAACGCTACTTCAAATGGAACATTTCTACAAGCACACTTGATTTACTTTTTAAACACAATTTGAAACTAGTTTACATAATGAAATTCCCAGAGCTCCAGAATTTCTATTCAGCACAATCCCAACTCCCACCTATTTGCAATACCTCAACAGGCGGGGGGGAGGGGAGTGTGAAGAAATGCTATTTCTGTTTGGTATTAAAAAACCCAAAACATGAAATTCAGAAACCACAGCAGCAGCAATCACAGTCACAATGTCCATTCTCTTTTATATGCGTCTGGAGGAAAAAACCCAAACCAAACTCCCCAAAAAACCCATCCTGTTCTTTATGCCTTATGAGATACTGAATTTGTGTCTATTTATGAGCCTTGATACTCTGTTCTGAACTCATCTCAAAAATTTGTCATTAAACTCTTATCTACTTACACTGCTTTCTATTATGTATTTCAAATAAAAGCAGGTATTTAGTGTGACATGAACAGGGAAGCAGAGATAGTTCCATACCTTCTATTAAAAATCACCTACTCTTTCCACTGCTACACATACTGATTTTCTAATATTTCTCATGCCCATCTCAAAGCCAGCCCTGAAGTACATACTTACTGTTTACAAAGAATCAAACTACATCTATCGAATTGCATGAAAATATTTAAATTGTACTTTCCAGCTCCACTCCAGAGCTTGCAGCAGTTACAAAGTACCATAACTGTTATATTTTGAAACTGCCACCAAGACACCCCTTTTTATTACAACATCCTCCTACTCACACTGCTGTAGAAAACTATTTACTGTATTTCTGCTCCTGCAGTTTGTTTTAATGAGTCCAGAAACAGGTTTCTCAGCCATCAGTGCCTCTGATGTGCGATAAGAGCATTTCCCACAGACAGCGATTGCATCGCTATACGGCACAGCCACTCCCCTTGAAACACAACTTTTCTTGCAAGAGTAAAGGTACCTCTTTGTAAAAACTGTAAAAATGCTGATATCAATCAAAATGCTCTTACAAACAGGAACACAGTAGAGGAGAATGGATTAACATTCTTAGTCAATTGGAATATGACACAAAATAATCATTACGCACAATGAGAATGAGAAGTACAAGGTTTTAAAATGCACACCGAGGTGAAAAAATTACACTGGGATGGTATAATCTGCTCACCATGTGTGAGGAAACAAACTTCTGCTTCTGCCTTTCAGCCAAGACATAAAGAATAGTAGCTCAAATATATTCATGTTAGAGTGAGGTAGCAAAGGCTTATAGATTTTTTTTTTTTTTAATCCTGTTCTTCAGAAGACTGCATGTGCTAGCAGGATAATTTAATACTTGTGTGATATGCCTTTATATTACTTTCAATATACAGTACATATCTCTGATCTGCAAGTGCCTGAAAAATAGGTTGTTTCACAATTCAGTTGTCTAATCTCTTTATTGGGATCTGCTAGTAATACAAGTTAGTAACTGCTCAACGGCAAGTGCAAACAGTATTAGAACCTATTTTACTTGACTAGGTCATAAGGCTTCAGGGTCAAGGTATTTATTTTAGATCATAACTTCTCAGGTATCTTTTTGCATATACAAATTCATGCTCAGCCTCAGACAGACTTTTTATGCAATCCATCACACCTTCATTTACACAAGGTCAAGCACTGAAATATTTTACAGAAAATGTTTAGTCATTCTGAGACCAACAAAAACCACTATCCAACTGTTAGTAGGGAAGAGAGAGAGGATGTACAATTGTGCAGGGAACACGATCGACTTCATCCTCCACTAGATATCAAAAAGCAAAAGTCACTGGGCTCCTATGCTGTCTGCAGTGGTACTGTTGATGGAGTTCTCACTAGCAAATTTGGGTAGCAGAGGTGCATATATTTCATGACCTTCTCACTGTTTTGATGGCATAAAAAGCAACACCCTCCCAAGCCAGGTTTAAAGCACTGCTAGTCAAGCACTGTGGTTCGCGTTGCAGGGCAATCTTACGGATGAGTGGACCAGAGTTCTCACGTTTCCCCCCCACTTCCACGATAAGGTTAGGAAGAAAGTCCCACTTTTGCTCACGAATGTGAACTTCAACATTCTATTAAAAACAGCTCTTGGACCACTTACACACTCTGCATACATTCATTAATATTTTAATGGGAACAAATAATTTCCAGGCTCCAGCTAATGCAATTGCAAAAACGTACAGATTCAGCATGTAATGCAGTTCTCAGATTAACAGGCAAGCCACTCAATGCAATCAAGTTAAAATAGAAGCACAAGTCTCCTAGTGTCAGGATTGACCTATAACTTTTAACTTTACTTTTTTTTTCATTTTACCAGTGCAAAAACATTTCTTCTTCCTCACTCTCCTCTTTTACATATACTTTGTGCTTTTATTTGCACTTGCCATATGAGCAGGTGGTCTTTTCATGCAACAGAATAGAGAAGCTTTAATACAAACAAGTATTAGTTCAGACCTGAAATTAATTTTAGGCATTTTAAGTGGCTGGATACCAAATTTCATGCACAACTTATTTTCCATTAATCAAGTGGTCAAGAGCACACAGAATTCGAGACAATTAAGAGGCTGAAACTTGCATAACTGAACTACATTTTCCTAAACCAGTGCTTTCCTCAAAGATAAACAAATGATTGCTTCTCTATGTGCATTCACCACTCCTGATCATGCTGCCAGAAGTATTTGTTCTCAGTTATCAGCTCAGTGTTTATCAGCTGTCTTGTTTTGTTGTTTTTAGTACATGCATACAACCTTAATGGCTGCTTTCTGTGACATGCATGGAAAACATCTGGTTATGTCCACTCCTCCTTGTCCTTCTGGAAACATTACGTTTACAGACCACCTAGTAAGCATAGATGCTGCCCACGTAGACAGACTCCACAGTCCTGCCTTGTCTTCACGCTTTTTCACCTCTGCTGCTACTTTCCACATTTTATAGAAATTCCTCTACCATAGTTGATGTATTTATGCTTTTCTGCAAGCTTCTGCATAAGAACTTGCTAACTGAATTAGCATCAAAGCCAGTAAACACAGTAATGCATGTATGCAAAGGAGAAGAATTACAGTACAATTCTGAATGAGTTGCATGAACACCGAACACGGGAGTTCATCTTGAAACAGTTCAAAAAGATGTTAAGAGGTTTACAACATAAATAAAAAAACCTCTGAAAACACAAAAAGCGTATGCCCAGCTTTAAGACACTAACATACAGATCACTTTCCCCAAAGAAACAGTTGTAGCTTTCCATCAAAGTAAATGCAAACACAGAATATATGAAATCTTCCACACATAAATATCAAATCACATTTTCATTGAGGTTACAGGAAAATACAGTATATACAGGCACAAAATGAGCCGAACATTGCTAAATGTTTATCTTCTAGCACCACCACAATTATGGTAGACAGATATTGATATACTAAAATAACAAAAGGCTGTTTTGCTAAGTGCTAGTGTAGAAAAACTTCCTACTGATTACTAGGGACATAATTTGGACAAGTTTGGAGTTTGTCTTCTGTTAGATGATACTTTCTTTTCAAAACAGTGAAATCAATGCTTAGCGTGTACACTCAGTATCAAATTTTAAATGAGAGCCCTGAAACTTAAAATGGAAGTATTTAAATGTGTTTGAAAACACATTCGATCAATTAAAAAAAAAAAAAGAAAAAAGTGAAAACACCCATCTGCAAACTGCTGAAATCCAGTCTAAGGTCAAATTCTTTTATCTTTTATTCTTAAGTTTCATAGCAAGTCAGAAAATCTTGAGATCTTGAAAAAGGATGAGTAAGCAAGGCAGGCAACAGATCCTTAATCACAAATGCTTTGCTCCTTGTCGATATTGAACCATTTTCTCTGCATTTTATTAGAAGACTCTGTGTGCCTTTTGTAGCTTACAGTTCTCGCCGGCTGGTTCAGAAAGCTCAGCCACTTCACCTCTTGCTGGCAGTTTTGACAGCATGGTACAGATTGGAGTTTTTCTGACAAGTATCATGTAAAACAATAGTTCAGAGCCTGCTGAATTTGAAATTATAGGCATCCATGCAAGCATACGATTCAAATTAAGCAATTTCCTATGCTAGAATACATCCCCCCCCAAATTCTTCTTACTAAAAGAAAAATATTAATTATTCTTAATTCTAAAAATGTTATTGCTTTCCAAAGAAAGTTTCTTGGGCAATAACTTGACACTCCAAGGAAATTTCTATTTAGGAAGTTTTAATACACATAGCCTGTCATTCACGTATTGATTTCACCAGACACTTAAATCCTAACAACACTCTTTAACATACTTCTGACTTAAAATGAAAGCCACCAAACTCGATGAAACATTTTAAAACACTTTTGAATGCAAATCTGAACTTTGGCTTCACTTAGAATTCCTTTTCCTTGAAAGCCATGGGGAGGGAAGGTGCACACCAAGCATCTCTCCCCCATGAGATCGAAGGGAGACAAAATCAGAATTCTGGGCTGGCACTCACAATTCACAGAAGAGATTCTCTCTACACCAAAATGAACAGCTCCAAGTGCTGTCTTTCTACTGCCTCAATGCTCAATCTATCTCAATACAACCTCAGGGCACAGACTTCCTATTTGTCCATCCCTGAGCTTCCTGAAGAACCTTTAACCCCCATTAACCCAAACAGAGGAGAAAAGCTTATCAGGTGACACCTTGGTAAGGCAGATGGAACCAGGATGAAAGCTAACTTGGGGACAAGCTTGTAGCCCTCATCCAAAGCCTTCTGCAGCTAAAATTGTCATATCTCTCTCCCTGTAGTGCTGCTGTATCTACAGGTCAAAGCTTGGAAGTTAGACCAGGCCCCTCTTCAGGTCCCCCTTCTTGCCCCTTGTCTTTCTCTGCTAACAAGAGTACAAAAAGGCGGGCAAACAAGAGGAGCACAAAAAAGGCACTGTCAGGTTAAAGATGTAGCTCCCTTCTCCGCTCTTTAAACAGTTTGTCAGGTCACTTAGAGAATCCTCCTCTGGCTGCTGGGCACACGATAATGAAGTGTCAGAGGCTGAAAGTTCCCAATGTCTTAAACAACAAAAAAACTCCACACCCAATACCAAACCAACCAACTAGAACTCAGCAGCAGCCAGCTCTGGAGGAAAGTAACACTTTATGAAGAACTTCTAACTTGACTTACCCTTTCTATTATTTTTGTAAGCAATGTAACATGGCATCAGAGGTCTCTGAGCATGTGTGAACATTTCTAGATCTTCCCTATCAACATCTGTAACAACAGGAGCTTGATTAATTAAACACTAATATTTCTAAAAGAAAACAGGTTTTGCTAAGCTCCTTCTTTACCAAGTTTTACTAATTGTGTTTAATTTGTACATCCCTACACATTAATTTCTGAACTCGTGTTCTGCCTACATTAGCCAGGACTCTGCATCTCAAAGGTTGACCACCTCTTAAATTCAGAAATCAATTCTGTAAGATAATTACTTTGATTTGGAAAAGGAAGGGTCCAAATTCTAGAATGACAGAATAGGCAAGATTTAAAAATTGGTACCCTGAGCAATTTTCTGTGTTACAAAGCATTCACATTCCCCTTTGCACTCATCAGCAGGACTTGCAAGCCATGAGTCCACTACTATACATCTCCACCCGTGACTCAGTGATGCAAAAATATCTAAGCAAAGTTTTCCTGCTTCCCACTTTCCTTTTACAACTTTATGTCATGCCAAGCAACGAAAAATGGCTGTAACAACAGAAATGTGACCTACGTTCTGAAATCGCACTGATGTTCAAAAAACATGTCCCCAGCTTCCAAGCTGGCAAGTAGATGTAAATGAAGACAGCAGAAGATTGTTCTCAGCATATGTGCTAATAATAAACATCAAAAAGAATAATATGTAGTAGTAGTATACAATACAATCAGCTGCATCAGTGGTAGTCAGAGTATACACTTTCCTGTTTGTATTTTAAGATTCTAAGCTTATCTGTCTTAACTAAGGATTTGCTTCCTCATTTCTAGATTAATACACTCAAAAAGCTTAGATAAAAACCTAATTCATTAACAAAAATCCACTATGTTGTTTCTTCAGTTAATTTCCTAAATGGAAAACTAGAAAGCCCTAGTTATGGAGCAATCCTGAGGACAAAGTCAGCAATGCTGACCAAAAGAGGAAAACTGGTAAAATGCAGTAGCTTTGCAAGCTGCTAATATACTTAGTCACACTCTCTAATTCTGTGTATTCTAGATAGGCTACAGCAGAATTCCTCTAGAATTACAAAGTATAGTTACATGAATAATAATTCAACAAAATTAATGCTGTTAAAATAAATCCCAGAGAAGTAATAACACCTTATTAAATATTACCTGTTCAGACACAGTTTTTATCTACCTTTGCGTTTCATTGTTAGAATATGAATTATCCTCAGTTCTTTTCCCATTCATACAAATTCACATTTACACAAATGTGACTTAACTCCAAACACATTCTATAAAAATGTATATCCAGACACAAGGCTCAAGAAATGTTACATAAATTCTTGACTGTTCAATGCTGTTACCTAGCCCTGTTTTCACTTTTGTGTATTATTTCCACCCCACAATATGAAATCCGCTTAAAATTAAAACTCATATAGTAAACCAGGAGGCTTCTGCTGAGGGAATCTCTCTGAAGCAATGGTACAGAATATACGTGTGTTCAACAGTACTCGAAGAGAAAGATTTTGTGCTACTTACCATTCTGCAATTTCAGGATGAAGGATTTTGTTGTTCACATTAAATCTAAAAAAAAAAACCACCAAAAAAAGAGCCAACTGTTAAAAAACAGCCAAACATACAACAGCAGAGACTGCATATTTACTTTTTTTTTTTTTTTATGTGTCTTCTCTGAGGATGTGAAAACCTGCAAAGGCAAATATTGTATTGGAATTCAGTATAGATCAGTATAGATCCCAGTGAGGAGAATGCACACACTCATCTTCACTGTGCAGGTGTTTCATTTTGAAATACATGAGACTAAATCAGATACACAATTTTAAGAATGTGCAGAAACCAGAGTAACAGTGTGTTCAAGACATATTTAAAAAACTTCTTTGGACAAAGATAAAATATTATCAATTCATTGCTATGAGTGTGGGTTGGACCAGATCGACCTCGAGAGGTTCCTTCCAACCAAAATTGTTCTGTGATTTTAACTTTGCTCCTCAAATACCCTTCAATGAAATTAAACACAGTGAATTGCTAATTTCATCCTTTGTTTTACACCTTCCGATTTTTGTGTGCACAGGATGTGGCATGTGATAAACAAGCTTGCTCAGAGGACTGTGAAAAGGAAAACAACCTCTCCTTGTCTTTTCGAATCTAGAGAAGAGACAAAGCAAAAGCTTCGATCTCACCTTGGCCTCAAGTACTTAACTATTTTTCTGTTTATTTTCTACATTAGCAATTCATGTATTCTTGGAACTATTTTGAGGTTCTCTAAACAATAACATTACAGTGGCCAATAGAGTAAGGAGCTGAGTAATTAAGTGGAACATAAATGGATTTTCACACATTGCTCACGGGATTTTTTTGCTTACAATTTAAATGCCTAAGGAGTGTTCTGCAGCAAAGATATTTTTGTCTGACTCAGGACTGTTGGCTCTTCAGTTAGGGCATTTAAGAGAATTAAAATATTCCAAGGCTCCCAGCAGATCTTCAGAAGAATGTTGTAAGGCAACAATTCATTTTGCCACATTTTTGAAGGAAAAATTAAATCTATTCCAGGTTATTAACCATTCTTTATACCTCAGAAGGGATGAACTAAAGCACAAATCCAATTAAAAACATTATTTGGAAGTCACTTCTGATTGTACCAGGGTCTTCCTGCATCCTCAGATAGCAGAAAAAACCCCTATGCTTCTTATAAAATCCTAACAAGGTGAAGGTTAATACCTTTGTGTTCCTACTCCAAGATAGAAAACAACTTACCACAACATTCAACAAGGACAAGCTGCATGGTATTCAGTATTATGGGTATTAATTTGAAATCACTGGAAGAGCAACAATACAAAAAGCCACAAGTCACAGAATACTGCATCGTAATAGAATAACATGGATACCTCGAAACAAGAAAGCCCTGTAAAACCAGAGAAAAAGGGCACTTTTTCAATTTAATCCTCACTATCCCAACAACTATTACCTATGTAGGCCAATGCAGACATAATTCTGGAATGGAAGAGCCAGTTAACCACAAATTTATACAGAAGAAAATATACAAATGATATAATAAAATCAATCTACACAAATTCTAAAAAAACAAAAGCCTGAGCTCCCTATTTGGCTGGAAAGCACACCAACTGACACCACCACAGAAAACCAAGACACAGAAGAATTAAGCTGCAGATGTAGCAACAGATACGAGGACTTCCAATAATTGTCATCAGTATGTCAGACAGAAAACAGATCAATGAAGGCAAGTGTAAGGAGACACTGCGGCACTGCAGAAAGCTCCAACACCAGCTCTATGCAAATAAGACAAGTATAAACTATGTTTATCATGAAGTAACAAAAGAAAATAAAGGGCAAGGAAGGGCAGATACAGAAGACAGCTGACTTAAGACTCTGAAAATTTACATCTCTTCTGTCAAGAACCTGACATGCGCACTTTAACCACAAGCACAAATGGATGAAACCAAAAGCAAATCAAACGAGCCAAACAATAAAACTATGAACCTCACAACAGAAGGCTGTATCTCATCTAAGCATCTCTCTATTAAAAACAAAGGGGCGGGGGGGCAGAAATTGTACACTGGCATAGGCTTATAATAGTTCAAATAAGATCTTTTAGGAAAGAAATTTCATCTGAGAGATGTGCCGTCCCTGTTGCAGTCCCTGGTTTTTACCTATCCCGGCCCAAAAGGCTCTGCTTGAACTGTCTTTGTGCTGCCAGAAATGCAAGTTTTACTTACTGGCTGGGACTACCTACTATGTGGCAGCTCCTTAAAATTCTAGTTGCTGTCAATTGGGGAAGCTAATTAAACACACAGAAAGGCAGTAGGATTAAAACAAGGGGATGCTAGGGGGGTGGAGAAGAGGCAGGAGGTCATCAGCAGAACGGCAATTTTATCTCTCACCTGAAAGACAGACTTTCTGATATAATGTCAAGTATAAAACAAGATCTTAGACCTCCAGGACACAGCACCAATTCAGATTCGGAAAAAAATCTGGTTTATTGTACGTACCTTTTTCAAGGAAGCCAATGATTAAGGATTGAACTGTCTCAACTCCCCTTAGATCATGACAGCTGTGAGTCCTGTGTGAGTGGCCATAAGGCCACCTGTTTACGATTGCTAGACTTCTAAATCTAATGACTCAAATTATGCTTCATTTTAGTTACCAACAAGGCAGGTAAACAAACCACATCCTAAAAGTTACTGGTTAAGTAACAAGCTCAAGGGGAAAAGCTTGTCACCACTAACAGGGGAACATAAATAGCGTTCAAAACAAATAATTTGCGTAATTTGTGCACAAAGTCCTACATAAAATAACCCTACCTAGTTCATCCAGCAAAGTTTTTATCCTGCCAGACAATAAACAACTTACTTTTAAAAACCATGTACTGTCCTAACATTAAGAGGATCATGCAGAGCAATCCAATTCTACATTTTCCTGCAATTTGCAAATTGACAATATTTAGATGATGAGATATGTGGTCTTAAGGAAGAAAACAAATTGACATTTTGCTACAGTTGCTATCTGTAACGTGTTAATGCTCCCATTTAATCAACACAGAACTAAGAAATACTACACTGAAAGGCATGTCCAAATTGATTTCATACTCAGTTGTCCTTTAACATGCAAGACAATTTCATCAGTTTAAAAAAAAAAGCTAGAAATCTATACCTCCTATATAATAACACTGTATAATAAGACCCTTTTTTGTCAGTTTAACGAATACACTTTGTGTGTATATGGTGATAAAATCTAAAACATATTCATACACAATGTTACAATTTTCTACTCTTCTTCAACATGGAGTCTTTCCCCTAATGATTGACTTCACTATGCAATAGGGAAAAGGCCATTTAGATGGTCTTCACTGTCATACCCAGCAAGTGCAGTTCTGAGGCAAAGGAATTCACTGAAAAACTTTGAACATTAGGTACAATTGCTTAAACTGACTATCGTTTACATCAATGAATTCTGAGGATGAAAAAAAGCCCCCAACACAGCCAGCAAAGATTTATTCAACAGTGTTTTAAAGTATGTGGCACATTACTGTTTATCCATACAGGTTAAAAATCCATTTTCTGTATGGTGAATCACATAATCTCAAAGCTTTTTTACAAGTGCTACATAACCGCTACATGACTAGATTTTAAAAATTCCTGCACATTTTCCAGTCTGAAAAGTGGGTCCATGAACTAGGAAAAAAAAAAATGGAACTAGCCTTTATTAGCAAACAGAAATATATATTTCGAGAAAACAATGCACTAGAACTACTTTAGAAATCTGCTTCTACACTTAAGCCATCTGAAGCAAGTGAGAGCAAGTCATTTCTGTAGGATTCATAACAGCTGCAAACAAAGCTGACTTGAGGGGAATTACCAGGAACAACACTGGTAAATGGTCCAGGTCTCCTAAGTCCCTGTCCCAGACTGCTCCCTTCACTGCACCATGGTATTATCCAACGCTGAGCAGGGAGGCTTCCCAAGTACAGCCATTCTCCATTTTTACAGATTGCAGTAATATACAAGCTTTTTTTAGTACAACATACTTTGCTATATGAGAGAGTTATACGTAAACTAATGGAAACTATGATATGATTCACTATTATGGGCTCTATTATCAGCATAAAATCAAGTTTGATCATTGCTAGCAGGACAAAAATAACTTAGGGGTGATCTTCAGGGTGAGCATAGAAATAACCCATGAACACAGCAGTCATTTTATCTCAAATGACTATCTATTACAGTGGAAAAATTAATCAAATAGTTTAGGTAATTACATTCCAGAAGAAGTTCAAAAGGTTCAAAAAGTAAGTCGGGGAAGCAACATCATTAGGGCAAGAAAAAGGCAGCTTCTGACAGTAGCAGACGAACAGCCTGCAAAGAGAGCAAGATTCAGCTTTTTCAGGAAATGATACATTATTTCTATTACTATCCAGCAAAAAAAAAAAAAAAACAAAAACCAACCCACACCGAGGCACAGTCAGTCTAGGAGAAAAAAGACAAATGGGAGCAGGAGGAACACAAAAGGGCCCTAGCAAGCAAATACATCTTGGCCAGGTAGCCAGAAAATGGAAACAAACAAGAATCCAGGAATGAAATACAGCATCATAGCTAGGGCAGTGCCCGGCCGAGCGGAGGACAGAAGAGACAGCCGACAAGGCGCAGTCACGGGCAGACAGAAGGGAGGGTGGTTTGAAGGAACACATTGCTTGGTACAAACTCCATGGTTTTAGTCCTCTTGGAAGAAATCAATACATCTGAAATATATGTGTTTCTATAAAGGAAACATTTGATACAGGGGAGGTGGAGGAATGCTGAAATTGGTTTGGGTCTGTGTCGAAAATAAACCTAAAATGGGCTGATTTATACGCAGTTACAAAAATCTGAGGAGAGCAGAGTTTACAGGGAAGCTCCCCGACTCCTTCACACCCTCAATTAGCAGCGTTCACTCTCTGCACGCCTACCGCCAGCACGCGGACCAAGGATGCTCTCGCGACAGATGTGACAGCCCTGGAGAAGACAGAAGCAGGAGTTCGGGAGATCAAGGGAAGGCTGGAGTGACAAGTGGTTTGAGGGCACAGTATCTGTCAGAAGAGGGGAACAACAACAAAATCCATGCGTGCTCTTCCATACCGCGAGCATGGGAGGGGAAGACACCAACCAGATCTGTCAAAGGCAGCAAAATGAACAACTTGGTGCCTAGGGGTAGACAGGGATGAGCATATCCTGGGTCTCAAAAGAGAAGTATCTGCTAAACAGCTGGAAATCGCCCCTAAAAAATAGAGAAGCACTCCTCTCAGAGCACACCGACAGCATGTTTACTGCAAACCGGGAAGCCAGCAATAAAATATCATTAATCCCTTTAAGTGTTGCAGGAGACATGCTATTAAAATCTCAAATCAAGTGCTAAATGGAGTGGCTTCCTATCTTAATGTTGACTAGTAATAGAACGCATTACTAATTAAGCTCTAGTGTTTAGTGAAATTCAGGGGAAAAAAAGGGCTTTTTGGTACTTCAAACAGACCTTTGTTCATCATTCCCATTACAAATTACTGCTGGAGTTAATAACTGTTTATATTTCATGTGGAGGTATCTCAGATAAAACTGGAGGTAATGCTCCACATAGATTTTGGAGTCTACCTGCACCTGGAGAGCGTAAGACAATGGAGTATCTACTTGGTCAAAGCAACAGAACATCACACTGCTGTAACTGCAGAGAAGACACCAAATATTCATTAAAAACAGCTTACTTATATTCAGGAATAGTTTATATTTAACTCAGTGGGCAGCAAAAGATGTCTAAATGTCTGCCACCTTGGTCCCCAATATCCCTGACAGAATCATTAAGTTTCCATTTAGGTTGTAGAGGGGAAAACAAAGTAATTATGGAACCAGATTCTGGATTTCAGTTCACATGACACAGAGAAAAGATGATCCCAGCAAAAGGCATGCTCTCGGACTACACAAATGAGTGCCCAGACTTGCAGCAAATTCTGTGCACTATGATCATCACTGCATAATTAATACACTGTCAACAGAGGTGGATGGAGAAAAATACAGCAGCGTGACTGGGAGTCAAGGATCATAAAAAAAGGCCATCTACTCAACATCTCAGCATGACTGTTTATTTTAATAGGCTTTTTAATCGGAGGCTTTGTTTCTTTTTTGCCATACATTTGAGCTAAAACGGAAAATGATCTCATTTTAGGATATCATAACAGAATAGGCAGTTGTATTTCATTCAAAATTGAGGCCATCATCCTCGCATCCCAAAGCAGGCTGTGATGTATTTTTATTTACTGCCTTTTCAAAATACTGCACGCAGAAGGACATTTTCACCGCTCTAGTTGAAAATTTCATAAAAAGACAACATCAAGGACACTAAAAGATCACACCTAGGCAGAAAGGTGATCTTTTATTTTACACCTGTAATGCGACATCTTTTCAGAAGATTGTGCATACCAGAATCCCTAATATCTACCTTAATACTGTACAAGGAAGTCACTGAAAGAAGCTATGCTTAAAGATTCATTTTTCTGAAATCTGAAAACCAAGTATTTCAATCCCAAAAGTGGAAATGGAGGTAAGGGGATAGGTCTGTCTGGTTTTAGATACTTAAAGCAAACACAGAGAAAGAGAAACATTGGATGACCTTAGATGCAAAAGAGATTTCCAAAACCAATCACCATTGTATTTCAAGTCATTAGAAACATGTAAAACATTTTATTTCCAAAGAAATACCGATACATTTCATCTGCCATTCAACATCCTGTCATTAGGAAAAAACATCACTTAATGTGAAATATAAAATGAATTCAACATAACCATGCAATAATTAATGCATAAAAAAGCCTTGTCACTTACTGGCTGATTCCCTCAAACGAAGCTTCTTTGGAGACATTTCCGCTATCAGTATTAACACCGCGCTGGGAGGGAAAAAATTAAAAGGACCATGATTCTGAGCCAAACACAAGTGCTTAAAATTTAAATCACGGGGAGAACCTGACTGCAGTAAGTCTTTAGGAAAACTTACACGTAAGTTTACTTGTATCACTATAAATAAAAAAACCCAGACTGTTTTTTCAAATGAAGACCAATATAAGAAATTATTTGTTTCATAAGAGACCAGCGTAGAACTCAGGTTAGGAAAATGTCGCTTAGGAAAATGGCAAGCTTTGATTTCTAATCCCCTTATGTCTTGAGAGGGAGTTAGGAGACCTATGTAATAATAAAGGTCAAGGGAATAACAAACAGGCAAGGTTTCTTCTAAATTAATTTCATTTAAAAATAAATTATTACGCACTGCCTTGGCAATGTTTACTATTTAAATTTGCATGCTGCTCCCCTACAGCTTTCCATTCAAGCAAGTAGCATAAGCAAGAGTATTTTGGCTGCTACACAGCAGATGAACACTTCTGATGTGCCTGGGAAACCCTATGAAGCAGTGTTACAGTTCTGTATCTGGAATGAGACCACAGGAGGAGAGGACCAAGCTTCCATTCAGCCAGCAGAAAGAGAAGTGCTCTTCCCTTCTCTGTATACTTCTTCGTGGCAGTGGGACGAATGTGAAAGCATCACAGCTCCATCCTCCCAGCCAGGAATTAGGTGAAAATTCCAGTTACAACAGGATGCTTACAGAGTGACAACTAATCAACAACTTGATGTGCAGAAATGAACGGTAAGAAGCACAAGATGGTCAAATATTCTCTTTCCCACTCACTTCTCTTAAGAAACATGAAAAAAGTTATAGGGTCATCTTTTATATGTGTATGTGTATACAAATATAAGTGGAAGAAAGACTGAAAACTATTTAGTAATAGTAATTAATGGATAAAGAAATCAGATCTCATGCTATGTGACTGCTTAAGGAGGGATTTTTTGTAAGACTTCTGTCTGGCCACTATCATGGGAAAACAAGAAATCCAGCAGCTGCCACTGCATTTGCTGTAAGCGACGGCCCAGAGTCAGCAAATCATTTCTTATATAGATTGGAGACAAGAAATCAGATACTCTTAATAGTGAGAGGTTTACAAAATATCTGTCAAGGAAAGAAGCTGGGGGAGAGGTGATGGGGAAGAAGAAACTTGCAGGCTTTACATCCATTCATTCATCCTTCTTCCAGAGAAATAAGCAAGCACCATACAAAATACTTGGCAGGCGTGTGATATCACTCCCTCCTCCCAGAAGCTGTTCTTACCAACCCACTCAATGCAGAAAAAGTATTCCCTGAATCCTTGTGGGATTCCGATAGAAAGGCCCAAACATGCTCTTGACATGACCAGAGCAGAAGAAGAGAAAAATGGAGTCTGGAGTCATTGTACATAGGCTGGAGGATAGCATGGTCAACGTTAGATAGACTTGTCATGTTTACCAGAAAACAGATAAAGCTTTTGGCAGAGAGAATATAGACTGGAAAGCCAGAGGTTATAAATCTTGAGATCATAGAGGAGCCAGATGACTAGATGACTATACACAGGTAGCTTAAAATTTGGCAAAGATGGGGAGGAAAAGGTAGGGAATGACAGTGCAAAGAAATACTGAATAAACTGATCTCCTTATTGAAGAAAATGGGTACTTACTCTTCAGAATAATATGACTCACCAAAGTAAGCAGCACAGCAGGTTTCTTCGAAGCCAAGACACTGGATATCTAAAAAGAAGGTTTAGATTGCTATTATTTTTCTTTTTTTCTTCCTTATAATCACATTGATACCAATTTCATCAACATTTGCTGTACATAAAGTAAACGAGCTGCAAAGACAAAAAATGCTCCTCTGATATCTTTCAGATATTGTCATATTATCTGACACTTGCAGCAAGAGTCAGTAGATCACAAAATATTCAGACAGAAATGCAGTGCTTAAGTTGGTGGTGTCCTTTAAAGACAGAAATACCAACTGTAACTTAATCTTAAGTCTATTATCATTTGGAAGACAGAGGAAATATAAGCCAAAAAGCTGTAAAGTCACACAGAAATAACGAACAAGAGGATACTCTGTATCCTCAACGCACTACTGCATATAAAACACACACACATTAATACTATTATGTTACAATGTGCTAAATACTTCGTAATGAATGTTTACTGTTATTCTCACTGGGTCATCTTTTACTAATACTTCTATTAGGCTCCTTCAGTATCTTTCAAACATTTACAAACTGAGAAGAAAATCATTGGCTTGTAGAGAACTGGGCTTTTGGAGCGGCTGCAGAAAGGTGGGCACTGAATTACACATTCCTTGAGGCAAGGAACAGATGACATAATTCCATGGAGCACAGTTCTACCAACTTTAAACTAGCTTAATAGCACACTAATAATATTAACAAAAGAAAGCATATGGCAGTGAGGTATAAAAATACCAACTCCACATTTTGTTTTTCTCCCCGTGAAATATCAGGATTACACACTCACACAGGTTGGTCATTTGTTGACATAAAACTATCCTGTAAATAAGGCCCCTAGTGTCCTGATGGACAATTCCTTGGCAAACCAGGCAAAAGTTATAGACAGAACCTTTGAAAGCTGAACAGTTTCACTGCAAGCTTCAACAGCTTCTACCTTCAATCCATGTAGTCTAGGTGGAAAAATGCCTTTATGTTGGGACAACTTACTGGTCCACATAAAGAGCTCTTTTTCCCATCAATGAGTTTTTTAAGCAGCAAGGAAGCAGAGAATAGAACTGCAATAAAGGCATTTGCTGATGGAAAGTGACCCAAAACAACTAAGGTGACCTAAAATAAATGTGATTTTTAAAAACAAAATATGTATTTTCCACTAGCAATTTTCACCGTCTGACAGGTGAGCATTGAAGCACCTGCACTCTACACAACTCCAACTCACAAGCGTCAAAAAACAACCTTTCCACAGCTTCCTCCACCCCCAGCTACTGAAATACAGGATCAAACTTAACTTCATAGCTGGACTCATTATGAAAATGAAATGAAACATCCTCACAGTTGATGAGAGCAAAATTTTTGGTCTAGTGAGTCAGAGTTAGTGCTCTGCAGAGACAGAACTATTGGAGTCTTCCTTCTCAAGCTGCTCTCCATGAAAATCACCCACAGAGCTTGGCAGGAATACTGCCCTCACCCTGCTGAGCCTTCCTACCAAAGAAAAGATACCTGGCCACGTGCACAAGTATACAAACATCTGCTCAGAAATGAAATGAGAAACCTAACTAAGCAAGTGACACTTGCACTTAAAAATATGAATATATTTGCTTATTCAAATATTAGAATGATTCAACATAAACTAAGAGTGAGGCAGGCAGCCTTTCCTCACAGCTCTTTGGAGGCATAAAACAAATGTAGGCTCCCAGGTCAGAGCTAGGATGTGCAACCTCCCTGACAGCAACCTCCTCAAATCTCCAAGGCATTGCAAAAAATGTATTTAGGAACATGTTTCTGTTGCATAAAGACACAGACTGTCAGGCCTCATGATGCACAGAACATGTTTATAAGACTGTCTTTGGACTAAGACCTTAGTGTTCAGCTAAAAATGTGAGCCTTTTTAAAAAAAAAAAAAAAGACAAGTGCTTTATAAAAACGAAGGACACTTTCCAGTAACTGGGGGGAAAAAAGGTCCCACCAAGTCAGGAGACATCTAGTAAGCAGAGGACTAAAATTAAGCAAAATCATTGCCATATATTGATTTTGTATTCACAGAAAAATATTCAGAGACACAGACAACTTACCTCATTCACATAGTGGACTTCATCCACAGCATATTTTTTCTTGAAGAATTCAGGGGGATGGATCCTTTGAAAAACAAGAAAAGAAACATTTGGGTTTAGCTTTACTGTTATATTTAATAAGGCCACAGACAAAGAAATAATGTCCTCTAGTATCACAACAATAGAATCAGGTATGAGGAATGTTTTAATAATCTTATCCTTGACTCCATTTCTCAAAATAGGAGATTACACAGAAAGTTGCCACGGCTACAAAAATCAGTGTGCTTTAATCCAGATTTCATGGTCTCCTCCTGAATTAAAGGGGTTTTTTTCCCATTCACTCTACACAAGACAGTTTTGTTAAAGGTTTTTGCCATGCCATTTGTATACAACTTTCCAACTCACCAGATGTTGGAAGGATGTGGAAATAGCAAAAGACCGGTTTGCCCTGTGTTATATTCAAAGAATGATCAAAACATTCATTTTCTACCCTGGTAACCCCTCTGATGTGAGCATGAAGTGGACTGAGGGCTATGAAGACATGGGCTCTGCTGCCTCTATTCCTCAGGACACCAGAGATCCATTCCTCTCACCCAATAGGATGTGCAACTTTACATGTTCATGTCCAAAATTAAATCACTTCTGCTGTCTTCTCCCCTGATACCCAATCCAAGAGACTTTTTTCTAAATGCAAGAAAAATGCAGGAGTCCTGTGAAAGGTCTACTTGCAGTCAGCTGGGGCAGACGCTGGTGTGGATCAGCACCCCAGGGCTCCCCCACCAGCCCCTCCATACCAGTGGCTGTACCATTGCTCATTCTTTCACTTCATGGTAGCAGCCAGTTAATCATGAGACTTTAGTCTCTGATTACAATCTCTATCCCCCACAAACTGAAATAAATATAATCAGTGTAATTTTGAAAATGTAATCTCAAAAGAAAAAAAGAAAAAAACCCACCCAGCTTACATCCTTCCACAGAGTAAAGAGAACAAGAGAAAAAAAACGGAAGAGCCAGAGTTTGGAAGATCCTGTGCATTTTGCTTCCTGAGAGACAGCAAGAGGTGTGCACAGAACTGAACCTTCAGCTGTTTAAACATTAGACTACAAGAGCATCAGGGAACGAATAAATGAGGCGGGAGTCTGAAGAACATTTCTAACCCTTGCAGTGACGAAGAGCAGAAGTGGTGGGCCGAACAGCCCAGCATCTTTAGGAGATGCTCCATAACACGGCATGTGCTGCAGCTGCCCACAGTACCAGGTGGCTAAGGCTCTGATTTACATCATGTTTTCAATCTTGTGCACTCGTTTTTCATTTTACTTTCCTTTATGCTCCAAACAGTACTGGGCTGAGAAATGAATGACAACATGAAAACGTTTATGGTGTTCTCAAGAAGTAAATCACAGATTTTAAAAAATTTATTTATGTGTGAAAGTACTGTAACACAAAAATATCTCATTGTATGTTCCCTTTTGCAATGCTCCTTTTGTGGACTCTTCCCATCACTGTTGGAGATTTCAAAGCAATTATCATTTATCTTCTCTCCCTGGCTAATTTCATATATAATTTAAAAAAATAATATTCTCTTATCTTTCTATAGCCTGTATTTTATAGTTCCCTTACCTCCAACTTTTGCATACTCTGTTTCTCCTATAGGCATCTCCTTTTCCCCACCTTCATTCCTCACACGTTCAAGTATTTAATATTCCAGAAACATCACAAACAGATTTAGCACTTTCTGGTTTTGTTCTCTTTTACAGTTGCAACCGATTCATCTGGTATCAGAAGAATCCCAACTGTAAAACCAGCTAATTTATGGCCAATGGTAATTTATGGTAATATATGCTCTTTAGAGCAATACCTCCAAAGCACCATTTACAATTAGCTGCGTTGTTTGAATCCAAGAACTGTTTCTTGTAAAGTAAATATTTTTTAAAAATATGCCCACAAATGTGCTGGATTTTATTCACTTCATTTAATGCAGTTTAAGTAAGAGTAGGTCTCATTTTCCAACACGCCAGTAAGAAAACTTCTGTCTTTTCACAAACTGTTTTTCAACTTTTTTTTTTTTTTTTCCCTGTTAGTTGCCTCCTATAGTTGTGTGGTCTACTGCACACTGCTGCTAATTTAATTCTTTGGTTATGGCTAATATTCATCCATTATTGATTCCATTCCAGCTGTAATCCCTCCAACATTTCTTCCTATGTACACTATCACTCTCTTGAGGAACAAAAGTAGCTCATCATCCTTTCAAGCCTGAGGACTTTTTTCTCTACTTTGAAAAAAGAAAACAGCAGCTTCCCCCAATCCTCCGCCCTCTCTCTCAGCTATTTAAACTAGGTCATCTTCCAGGTACTTTCGACTCCATCACACCTAATGTCAAGCTGCCACGTTTCCTAGATGTGTACCTCCTTGCTGGTCTTGTTCTTGCTACCTTGCTCAAAAGTTGGCAAGACTTTTAGCACAAAGTAGAGAGCTAGACTTCTCAGCTCCTCTCTGAAGCACTCAAGGCTCTGCCTCACTTCTTTTCTTCAGCCATTTACCACCTCTGACTAGATGGTAAAATACATTCACATACACTTCCCACAAACTACCATTCCCTACCCATCCCATGAGAGCCGTGATGCTTCAGTGATGAAGCCACCTCTCCCACTGGGAAGATTTCTGCAAAGACCTACCCTATTGCAGAACCATACAGGTGGAAGGAAAAAGCGCACATGGAAGTCTACATTAAAGCAGAAAAATTCTGTGCTGTCACATATAGAAAAGCAGTATAGAAGGCAAAACAAAAGCTCAGGGAGAAAGAGGAGCAAACATGATCCTTACTAAGACTTTTCCATATTCTGTCAAGTCTCTTCATTTTTTCCCCCAGTTTAGCAGGAATCTATGAAAGATTATTATGCACCAACATTGTAGTTACTGTAAAAGTACCAGTGCGGAGTTCCTTAGCAGAGACAGGGCTCAGTATTCATTTTTATCCAATTTAAATGCAAAACAGGCTAAAGTCTAGCGCTGACCATCGCTGTCACAGGGAACAGTACCTTCCACAGAATGCTCACTGGCATCATGAAAATCAGAAGTTACATTCAGTTATGATAATTTGAAGTACATCTAATACCTCACAGAGATGCGGAGTCCTTCTGGAGTACAAATGACTCTCAGGAAGACAGAATAAGTTAATTGATTACAATTTTTAGGTGTGGCTTTGTCTTTTGTAATGCTGCTATGGCCTGCCAGTTTCAAAATTCTGATTAATCACTGCAGAGACTACCTGCAAAAAAACCCACAGCAAGTCATAAATTAATTAGAAGGATTACCCAAGTGGAAGATATGATCCCAGATATTATTGAATCATGTCTCTCCTTACCTATCAAAAAAACCCAAACAACCTTTTGTAAACAGATGTGAACAGAAGCAATGGCCTAATTTTTACAGGCTTTTGGAGAGGAAAAAAAAATGTGCAAAAATTTTTAGATTCTCTGGAAACATAAATTAGCAAAAACCTCAGAGAATAATGCACATCAGCCCTAAAAAGGCTCAATATCCTTTCCCTATAGTTTTATAACTCCAGCCAAGCAAATACCAATGTTTGTTAGAAATGTCAATAGTTAGCTTCCAGAATAGTAGGAGTCATCATTTTATCTTATAGTGGAAATAAGCAACTCCAAACTCCTGGAACTGCATCATGCCCACATACACATGCCCAAGTGGCTAGGCAAAAATCTGGCATCTCATAGTTTATGGCAATTAGAAAGAAAACATAAAAGTCCAGCACTTCTATTTATTTACAAAAATACAGTCCTCATTTTTTGTCACCAAAGGATCCCTTAAACAAGAGACTGTCTCTAGTTCGCCACTTACAATTTCATCACCATTTCCAGTCCAGTGAAAAAGCTTGAGTTATTTTGGGTTAAACATCAAAGCTGTTTACATTCTGCTGATGCTTCCTACATAACTCTTCCCTCTTCCATGTTCTTCTACCCAATCTAGTTCACCTACTTGGTTTCTTACTTTCAAGATTTTCATAGCAATTGGGAAAAGTGAAGACGGTCTAAAGATGTGAAGCTACATTTTTAAGAGAAGATTCGAATTCCGATGCACTATCTCATTTTAACAGCTAAGGTTTTATTAAAGCACCAAATATTGAAGATTCACCTTTCAATCATAACAAGTGACAACTTTATTACAAACAAAATTCTACTGAGGTAGCAATGGGAAAAAGAAGAGGAGGAGAAGCAGCAATACTTTCACTATAAAAATGCAGTGTGAAACGCTAAGTCAGACAGTAAAGTAATACCCCACGTTAGCTAGACCTCATTTTTTTAATATATCAATCAAAAACAAAAACCACCAGAAAAAGAGTAAGGAAGCGTGGTATTAAAAACTAGTAACCAGGAATCCCAGTCAGTCGGTCAGCTTAGTGAAAACTTCCAAGTTTATTCTAAACTTTTCCATTTGGTTTAACTAAATTCACAGTGGCACATGATGGCATGTTTAAAAACCAAGATGCTTCACCAAATCACAACCTACGCCAGTGCAGATTCTACCACCAACTTTGACAGACCACAGTACTACGACTGGCTCCACTTCAGTGCAATCTTCGAACGGGAATGGAATACTGACTCTTCTCTTTATTCATCGGTAAGGTGAACAGCTCTGACAGTCTATATATATAACTACACCAAAATGTATGTTTTGAAGCTTTGTTGAAGTTGGACAAATTAAAACCTCAAATTTTTTGCAATATTTTATTAACCATGTTATGTTTCCACTTTAAACCCAATAAAAACTTGGTCTCATTGTCTAAAACCATTTTAAAACTGTTGTTCATTACATTGCACAAGAATTCATAACAGCAAATCTTAAGAGATTTGTACAAATTTGACATTACCGTAAGAATTCCATTAGCAACATTTCTTTGTATTCTAAAGGACTCTGGAGCAAGAGCCTCGTAATACCAACATGATAAAAGAGTGTTCTAGTTTTCAGAACTGCATTCAGAACAGAGGTACAAATGAGATGGATCTAAATCACAAATGCCAATGAAAAACTGTGAGCAGAATTTATAACAGCTGATAGCTATGCCTA